AAAAAGAAACTTTTCTTTTATACATATTAGGAATGAATAATTAATCCTTTATTTGTATACTTGTGTTTGTTGTAATACATGCAAAAGTCTAACAAAATCTTTCAAATTGGATTAGTTGTACATTGTTACATTTATAATTTTTTTGTGGATAGAAATAAATCTGACTGAATGTTAACTGCTTATATAAATTTAATTTAAACTTGAATAAAAATTATAAATTAATTTTATATTTTAATAAAAAAATATCTGCTGCTATAATAAAACGGCAATATAGTTTTATATTATCTATAATATTCCAGATAATAAACTGAATTTTTTCTTGCAATTAAAAGATTTATAATTCAATAAATGAATTATTCATTATATAATTAGCGAAGTTGACTGACTACTTGGATTAATGCAACAAAATATCAATACCTTTAAATATACCTTTTAAATATAGTTACAAAGTAACGTCGATATTTTTTATTTCGTCTTTAGGCAGTTCTTAATTGTAACTCAAAATAATTTTGTAACTCTTTAATTTGACATCTGAAAGTTTTCGGCTTCAATATGCTCAATATAGCAACTGATGTGAGTTGAAGCAAATCGTGTTAATTGCAACTTGGCTGATTTGATATCCGACCTCTTTGCACCATCGAGTGTATTATATGTGATTGATGGACGGAGCCCGTTACTCGCTCCGTGTGGTTGATCATTTGGTCGTAACAACCAACTTAAATGTACGGGTGCGTATATATAGAGAAATGCCAGGCAAGCAATTTGAGAAATTATGATGCGGCTTCAGGAGTACGACTAATTAAAAACCGCGCTTTGTGCGATCGTTTATAATCAGTATACTTATGTGAAAAGGAGATCCATATCAATTTCCTACAAATAATCTACACAATTTTTTAGACTTTACTCGGAGAAATAATGAACTTTCGCGTCTTTAATTGTGTCGTACATCAAAGTGAACAAAAAGTTACGACACGTGTATTTTTCTTCTGATTTTTTTTAACTAACGTTATTTACTATTCTAGAAAATTGTAAATTCAATTTTTTAATTTACTGTGTAATTACGAACGTGAAAAAATAAAACTGACCTAAATTGTGTATTATATACCTAATAAAACTGACCTAAATTCCAGTTAAATTTTAATTATATAGCGTAAAGTGAATTATAGAAGTGAGATATATAATGGCGGTAAACTAAATTGCGTTATTTACAATTAGATCAATTTCTGCATCGGTGTCGCAGCAACGCTTTAATGCTTTCACAAATCATGAAATTTTCGCTGCTAAACATTTCTCGTCATAAACATAATTTGCAACGAATACTTTCAGTCGCACAAAAATAATGTTTTAATTTAATTCATTCTGTCGCTCGCCGCTGGTGATTATCACAATTGCGGAAGGAACGCGTGGTTTATAACGTCTCATAAGGACCGTAGATTAGCTAATTATCTATTCATTGAGGTTAACGATGTATAATTGTAGGTCCGGGACTGCAAGTATCCACATGATACATCCAAGTATCCACGTTACGCCATCGTCGGCATTTAAAGCCAAGTCGACGCCGAATCATGACGCCGTGGCCTTTCGCAATTCTTATCAAGTGCGATTTACGAGGATTAAGCACGCGTTTCTCGCAATGCATAATCGCTTCGGCCGCAATAATAATAAAGTAAGATTTTCGAGTCTCGACGGCGCCGGGTTTAGAACACGAGAGACATTTTCTAATAATTATCATTTAAAATTATATAGTGTTTATCGGAAAGCCGACTTTTATATCGGTAACTTTCCACCTTTCCCTTTCCGTTAAATTCCCTCAAGACTTTCGCCATTTCCTCACTCTCTTGGACGGGGATCTTTCTTGCGATTTCGTGGCGTGTCTCCTTCCGAAGCACGCTCGCGAACGTCTCGCGCACGGATGAGCGGATCGCGTAATCGTGGCGTTATTAATCGCGATCGGGAAATCGTTCCGCCCGGTGATCGATGGCGGAACGAGCGAGACGGTTCAGCGGCAAATCGTGACTGTATGATATCTGTCGCATGCACTAAGGGGCTACTTCCTTCTTTCCAAGAGAAACGAGAAATCTTCCGTAGCTCTGTTGAGAGCTGTACGTTTTGATTAAAACTCTGCATAATCGTTGAGATGAGAAATCTTCTGCAGTAATGTTAAAGCTGCATGTTGGTTGAGATTATGAATAATCAATGTACATAGTTTATAGTATCGAAAATTTTTTTAATTGTTAACATTAATGTTTGCGATGTATAACATTTATCACTAACTTTATTTGAAATATAATTCTGAAAATATATCTCTCTAATTAAATATTTTAATTTTTGCATTATTAATGTTATATGTTTTTATATGATTCATGTTATTAATATTATAATTCATAGCATTTATATGATATTTAGAATAATCAGAAAATTGAATACAATAATGGAAAGTATGTCAATAGAATTATTTGGAATTTATAAGCAGTTACAATCATTCATTCTTGATCGTATAGGAGAGGTAGTAAAAGGATGAATATCTCTTGAAGTATTTTCTTCTTTCCGCTCCAAATCTCTCCCAGAAACCCATTGGGTTGTTTTTGTTGCGTATATAGTATTGATATATGAAACTTAATTAGCTCCGAGTGCGGTTCTGCACTCATCATTTATTAACGCCCCTGCGAATGCGTTTCGCGTTACGCGTGAATGCGCCAGGTACGCGATTAACGCGCGTGTCATTTTTTTCCCTCGTCTCCGTATATACGTACGAGAAAAATTGTATCCGCCGAGCGCGCCTGAGATGTAATCGCCGACAAAATCCGGTCCGTTATCGCGGTTGGAATTCTTCCTATGGAGTGCGGAAGCGTTAATTGCCGCATTACGTGCCGCAAAAAAAACTGCCGACGCCCACTGCTGCACTCGGGGGCCCGCTGCAGTCGCTGCACTTGCAGCAAGGGTCGCAATCGAGTCGCAATCGACTCGTAAAGTGGACACACTCCGTAATCAGCCGACTCCGGTCCGCTCGGGGATCGCATTCAAGATAGTCGAGACCGAGAGGCATCTCGCTGCTGCTCCTTTTTGAGTTCATTCATGCGTGTGATTTCTCGTAATTCGTGTCGTTTCCTTCGCCGCTGTTCTCTCCGCCACGGTCCACGGTAGCCGAGCTGAATTCTCACTGATGCGAGATAAGAGACGGATCGGTGAAAGTAATTAAACAGTCTCCGCCTGGGAGCATCGAACGCATCGTTCGTGGCGGAAACACGTTTAACCGTTTCAAAGTGGAGATCATCGCGAGTGATACGTTCACGTTTAATCGAGCGAGCGAATTATTGTGAGCGTCCCGCTTGATCGTTTTACCGTCGGAAATTCTCTCGTGGAGTTTCATCCTGGGACTTGTAATACAAGCGAGTGTGTTTGCTACTCGACCGACATCCCGTTTAACCCATTTCCTACCTTGTACATTGATTTCTCTCATTAATTTGTATTCCTTCATTTGTATTCGAGACTAATACATTTATTGATAAAAAAGTTAAGCACCCAGAAGCAATTACCGGAGAATATCGAAATTTGGTGTGCAATTACGTAGGTAGATGTGCAAATGATTTCAGTTTGAACAAACATGCGTGCTAAATTGATCATTAGAGAGTATAATTAGAGAGCATAATTGTTGCTATTATCGTAACATAGAGAACGGCCATACACGCACTGTGTGTAATAGATTAAGCGTGCAGTATTGAGAGGAGAGAGAGAGAGAGAGAGAGAGAGAGAGAGAGAGAGAGAGAGAGAG